TTTTGCCACATTTCATGTGCATTTTCACAATTTACCAGACATTCTAGTTGGTTTGGAGAAATGGTGGTAAGTAGAATTACTTGTTGTCAGTTTGCACTATGCACATTGCCCCGATTTATTGGGCAATCATTGCAATCATCTTCTTGGCCGGAATCGACGCTGGACTTGGACATCGTTCTCACAATAAATTGGGGCAACTTTAGTACAACCAACATCAATGCAACAGGTTTAGTTCTGCTCCTAAACCGATCCGAGCCAAGAGCCAAATTTTTTGCTGGCGCCTCGAAAGAAGACGCTAATTTTCTTCTTCATTATTTGCTGAACTTGGACACATTGGCCAGTAGACAAACAACAAATAGTCTAAAAAATACCCAAAAATTTACAAAATCGGCACTAAATCGCGCGATTTATCAATTGCAGGGCGAATCGCGCCTTACACTCATATCTGGCAACCTCCAATAATTGACCCAATTATTGTGGAAAATTGGGCAATAAAATGTGATGTTCCTCAAGCCGATTTATTCCGCAAAATTGAAAATAATCGGTTGTCCTTGTTCGTCCATTTTGGGGGGAAGACCAAGAGTAATTTTTCAGAATATTTCGGTAAACGATTGCGCTAAATCCACATTTATGACGGATGAAAACCAGGATAAATTGATCAGATAAGCGTTGAAAACTGCGACGCCTTAGTGGAGGATTTATGATAGTTTTCGGGAACTTGGATTCCAATTTGTACAAATTGCCGCCTGATTGGTCGGCTCAATCATTGTCTGCGAGATCCCGATTTGTCCAAGTTAGCAACCAGACAACCAGGCTGTTTTTTAGATGGAAAATGTTTAAATTCTTAAAAACTATCAATTTTTTACCCCAAAAAACAACTATTTAGAGCCGGACTTAGCCCAAATAGGCAATTAGGCGCATTCCGTTTACATGCGTGTTTTTTAAGTTAATAGATCCCATAGTCTTTTACTCAACTGTAAGACGCCCTTTGCTTAAAACGATAAAAGCAGAGCGAAACGCTTGACGCCAGTGCAGTTTGGCAGAAAATCGAAAAAATCGAACTTCTGTTCCGGCAAGATAACGAAATATAATAAACTGGAGATTTTCTGCGTCGCCTGGAAATTATTGAAGCCACTTTCACACACCCATCGGCTTGGAAACTTGTTAAATAGCATTTAATCACTATTCGGGTTCAATCAAGTGAACATTGTGGGGAAAATATCCAGAAAAATAGGAATCGTGTACTTGGCCGCACTGGATGCAATGGGTTTAGAAGACTTCGACCAATCGATTCAATTAGCCATCGGCAATCAAGAAGTTTTCCGAGATAGAGCTTTGAAAAAGTCAGTGACTGGCCCGATCCTCTCTAATAATGTTCGGATCCGAATTGGAATTACGGCCCAATAAGGGCACAGCCTTTATAAACAACTCGTCAAAATCTAATTATCAGGAACGTTTCGAGTTGTTTTATTGCTTAGGCCTTGGGGATTTGGCTCAAACATCTGTTAGATTTGATTTTGACTCGACGTGTTCGCTCATATTGACAAAGGGAATGGTTCTATTCAGCGCTTGCAGATCAGGATTCTACAGAATGTTCCGTGTGGCAAAGTTCTAAAACGTTTTTCAGTTTATAGTTTTCCGAACTAACAGGCAATAAAACTGCTACATGGCTATAACTAGTTGATTCACCGATTATTTGTTTATCTGTTCGCTGAAATTTGTTGCTTTTTAATAACTCCCAACACCAATCAAGTTAAAACCAATTTTTCCATTCAGGAACGTCGCTCTTATCAGTTGTCTCACTCCCGCCCATTGGCGTCTAAGCGAGACCCATCAGTCCTGAGCGTTGCTACGTTCCAACTTGCCACCTTCAAGGCTCAAAATTATCAGTTTCGAGCAATACACTTTTTCAATTTTACTACAATTTAGTTACTAAAGCTAGAGCTGAGCCATCGAACAATTAACAATTTTTTGCTTTTAGGCATTTTTAGGCTTTTCTCGTCATTGAGCAACTGCAATTTCCTTTTCCAGCTAAACGCAAGAAAAGTCAAATTTCCTACGACAACAAAAAAACACAAACTGTACTTACCACTATCACTGCGACCACGCTTATGTTTATCGCCTTTACCCATTTTTCTGCCCCTGGCAATGCCTAAAAAATAACCACCATTAGCATGTTCAATCGCCATTAAAATTCCTTTAGCGTGATTCGGAAAATATGAAAATACATGGTCGGGATAAAAACCACGCTTTATACCGGCTCCGGCCGTTTCATTTGCCGAAAAACTTTGCCGAAATAACGTAAGTTTACATTCAATAAAGACGCCGCTAAATCGCCCTAAAAACTCGGAAAGCCGATAGAGCTTCGTGTTTAAGAAATTTAAATTTACCGGCATATAAACTTCGGTGAAGTTCGCTGCGACCGCACGAACTTAACCAGCTTGGAAGCCGCACAAGTTCTTTCAATTTTCCAACTTGTTACACCGAATAAAGTTTGCTGCACCGTTTTCCAATTAAGAGCCATAATGTCACTTGGAAAAACTGAATTCCTGCAGTTCGATCATCTCTAATTGGTACAAGAACAAATTCCTTTACTTTCTAGATATGATGAATCGCGTTCCTAACATACAGAAATTGTACAGTTATTGAGCACTCATATCAGTAAAGACTTTTTCGCCCCGTTTAGTAAATTCACTTGAAACAGATGCATTCTAACCGGGCTGGTTGAGGCTCCAGTGAACTGCAGGTGCACAAAGAGGCAAAATAGAGCATTTAGACCATTAAGCCGGAAACACTTCCATCGATTGGGAAATAAAGTGTAATTTGGTCAAAGGGAATTACCGCAGAAAACTGCTTTGACCCTAATGATGAGCCTCTTTCCAGTGCGATCCCATTCGAATTTTACTATTGCATAATTAATGAGTTTAATTACACCCGAAGAGCGCAGTCTACAATTGATCGGTTTATTTAATTGAAATTTGAATTTAAAAAAAAATTGTTTCTCAACATGAAACTTCCGTAGCATATGAACATGATCTGGTCCGTAAAACGAGTTTTTAATTAAGAAGCAATTCAATTGAGGTTTTTGCGAATCATCTCTAAACAGTTCTAGTCGTTATTACCAGTTTTTCTATTAAAAATCGTGCTTGGTGCTCAGAAGCGCGAATGGCCATCTAAAACACCAGACTTAATCCCACTAAAATAATAAATCAAACAGAGTCAAAATTATTCCCAAAAAAAAGTAAAATGACAGAATCTGAGCAGTCTTTTCAGTCTTCTCCAAGTGCGAGTAAATATTAAAAATAATTTAATTGTAGGAAAAAGTCGTTAAAACAACTGTCAAACGGGCATTTTTGACTCAATTTAAGGTTTTTTTTGCGGATTTTTCAACTACACATTCATTTATTTCAAAACGATTTCCGTTAACAGCTGTCCATCATTGCCAAAACTCCTGAATTAAGCAGAAATTGGAGAATTTTTGAAAAACTTCCTCAAGAAAATGTACACCGCAATTTAAAAATGGATTTCTCCAACTGGGCCTAAGGCAGGCAATATTCAACAGTTTAATTACCAGTTCCCTTTGTCTCAAAGTGCCCAAAACCCAAAACTCCTTGAGTGAAACTGTGAGTACAACACGGGAATTTGATTGATGAGTTTCCCTACCTGTTAGCTCCTGTTTCCCCTGGCCTGCTTAAGTGTGAGGGCAATTTTCGAATGTTCTTGCCCTTTCGACCTCTAGAACGACTTCTTGACACGAGACCGGGTAGGGAAGAGGACTTACTGCCCTAAAAATCGGGATAATGCCATCCAAGGGGAAACTGTTGCGCAGTCTTCAATGTGCGAATTTTCCCCCGTGTTTAAGCGACATCTCCCCGCCACCTAGGGGCCGAGACCGAACCAACGAGTTTTACAATTGCAGATTTCGGTTCACCCGTTCCAAGTGCAAAGAAGCGCTTCGCCATTTTGTTTCCCTGTCATTCGCCCGTCTAACAGCGTCGGTTTCGTATGATTTATTTTATATCGCGATTAAATAACGGTTTAATTTGAGAAAAGTTTATTTGAATTGTGCGATGGCGGTCGTGCGAAAAGTGTGGAAGGATGGATTTAGTGCAGGATAGCTGGGATTTTCTGCAGGAGGCGGTTGCCGGGTAGCAAGCCTGGGAACGTCGCAGAAACAGTAAAGGAGTCTATGGAAGGATTTTATGGTATGTGCAAGTTTGTTCGGCTGGTTTTAAATTTATCCCTTAAATGGGCCTTAAACGCATTATTTTGCAAACAAACGTTGGCTCAGCACAAGAACTAGTTTTTCACAAGGAAAATTATAGGTAGCGTGGCCGAGCGGTCTAAGGCGCTGGTTTAAGGCACCAGTCTCCTCGGAGGCGTGGGTTCGAATCCCACCGCTGCCAAGCTTTTTTGATACCGCTTTTAACGTTTTACGCCAAAACGCTTGAAATTCGAGTTAATTTAATTTTTTCAAAGTTCTACTAAGTGAAACTGATTAATTTGGATGATTTTCATACAATTTTTACACCAGAATAGTTCATATTTTTGATTAATTTGATGATGGCTGGTGAGAATTTGTAAAACGTAGGTATTTTCCAGAAATTGCGTTCCGCATTTTTTCTATTCAAAACTGTTCATACTTACGTCGAGGGTCTAAGGGATTAAATCAATTTGGCTTTAAACCTTCACTGATTCTTTGCTAGAAACGTTTTGGGTGCAAGTTTTTAGGCCATCATGCAAATTATTTCATTTTCGGCTCGCATCTTCAGACGAGAAAAATCCGTAATTTGTCTAATGATTGGTTTTGTTCTTAAACTAGTATCGTGCCCGAAGGGGTTTCGCAATGTTCTCATTTTACTTGCGTATGTGGTGGTTGATATAAATGTTCATTGAATGTGAATTACAGTTTGCCTCTGGCTTTCTTTACAATAAAAAAATCAACACTGCAAAAATCAGCTTTTGCATAAAGTGAACCGCCGGAGTTTAGCTTGCAGTTAAAGGCTGTTCACACTCTAGAAAAGTTTCAGCTCGTTATGTGCTTAAAATGGGAAAAATCCTGCTAGTTTCACTAATGCAACAGAGTTTCCATCTCAAATAAGTCGCAAATGCTTTTAGGCATTGGCATCAATAAAACTTCGATAATGAAATTATCAGTTTTATACAGTAAAACGGGACTTTAATTACGAAAAACCAACTATGGCTGAGGAAATTTTCCATTCTCCATTACCGAAACGGAACTAATTCCCGACGACCACAAACTTTTTGCATATTACATCTCTTCATTTCTATCTCCATCTGTGACGTGTCGAAAATGAAATAAAGCGCAAAGAGCTCGAGACTTTTTAATTAACTTGTTTTTTGCCGCCCCAACTGTACGACTTATATTGAGTTAAACTGTTTAAAGAAAAGTTTCCAGCAAAGTTGCGCGCTCATAAATTGCATCTCCATAAAGAGCGGACACGACTGTTTTCACATCGGCAGTGGGCTTTTCCTAATGGAAAACTTATCGTTATTGGCCTATCGGCATATCGAACAACATCCCGGCTTAAATGCAAGCCGATTATGTTTTTGGTGATGAAAATTTTATTGAATTTCCCCCCTGATGTACCTTAAACGCGAAATCTGGTGCGGAGCTAATGGAGCAAACGCCCCATTAGCGCTGATACAAAAGAATAATCATTCATCCTTCTTTTGATGGTAGCGGCAAGACGCTGCAGGATTTTGGGCTGTGTCATGGGTCATGTTGCCAGATTTTAATGCGCTTTGGGGCGAATAAATTAATTTGAAAATGTGCACAACAAGCCTGGTTGGTTTGATTTTTCAACAAATGCGAAACATCCAAAGTCGACAAACAAAAGATCAGAGATCGATGAAGAACTCATACGGCTAAGTAGAGTGACATATGAGCCACTCCTATGGAAATCGATCGAAAAGCCCTAAGAACAGTTGGGTGTTTGTTGTTATACCGGAATAGCCCATCGATTTACCTATTTTAGGTAAATAATCTATTTGAAAAAATCTTAAACTTCCTTTACAAAAGACGGCAAGGAAGCATATTTTAATGAAGAACTAGCTAGGGAGGGTGTGGAATGAACCACTCACGAAAGCAGGTCGAAGACCAACACACCAACTTATGTTTTTACTAAAGAGCAACCAATTGCAAGCCGATTTGGCAAATCAGCACCCACGGGAGAATTGCAGATCCAGCAACCATCTATCGCTAAAATTCTTAAAGAAAGATTCTTTTGAAACGATGGCAAGGAATCATCAGTCAGCGTCATATCCGGTACAATAGCGGGCACCGGAAGCTTTGTTCCCGGGAGTCTGGATCGTCGTTTCTCCAGTGCGCTCTTAACAAGTATTAGAGCTTGTTAAAGAATTAATTTTCCAGGGCGTTTTATAATCAGCGGCCGTTTTTTGCGCGGTATTTTCCAACTATGCATGCGGCTTGAATAAAACACGTGATAATCTTAAATAGACATCTATATTTTAAATTCATCCTATACAAGTAAAACAAAATTAGAGTTCTAAAATTAATGACAATTAAAATGAAATAAGAAACTATATAAAAATATAACGGAAACATGATGAATGACCAGTACCGCAATGACGAGATGGGGTAAGTGGTGGCGGTGGAAAAAACGTCCCATACACTTCGTGGAAGACTCCCATTACAGTTTGTTAGGGTTTGAATTTTTCCCACCTACCGCTATTCGTAAAGTATTACATTAGATTAATTATAAAAAAATATTACAAATTAAACAACAAAAGAAAACAAAGGGTTCACCGAAAGCTGAACATATAGTTTATATACACCGTGACTTGAACGAAACGAAAACGGCGCCCTTGACAATTTGTTTATAATTATACACCTAGAATCAATCTAACTAAAGTCAAAGCCCTTCGTTGTTTATAACATTTTAGCTGGCAATTGACGGTCAACTGTTTCACAATTTGTGGCTGGCCCTCAACTCCCAGATATACAGAATGTTTCCACCAACGTTATCGAGATTAACCTAAATAAACCATAAATAGTGTAACAACGTTTCGTTTCCGATCATCAGTGAAAACATCCCCTACAATCCCTTATCATAAAAACAAATTATATTTAACTTCCCTGCACATTTTTGGTCGTCGCAAAAGTAAAAGACGAAAGAGCGTATATAGCAGCTGCTAAACCGAATTTATTTAACATTTTCTAGTTAGGCATTTGAACGTTTTTTTTTTGTTTTAATGCCAATCACGACCCTTTGCTTCAGCTACAAACTTAACACCGCTTTTCCCTCCTACACTAAAGAATCTTAAGTAATAAAAATGGCACCAGAGCAAAAATTGAACAGTTATTTCAGTTTGCGTTATCGATTGGTTGCGTCACCAGCAGGGCCTAAGAAGTCGGCAGTTTCAGCGTTTACGTCCTAAGTTGAATAAATAGAGTAATTGACACTTTCTTGAGGCTTTCTTATAAAGAAAAATACTTAATGTTAAGACGGAAACATACTTATATTCAATACCCCTTGGTAAGCGCATTAGAATGGAATCAGAAATGTTTCTTCGTTTCGCTGATAGGCCAAGGAGTACTAAAGACAAGTAGCAAATGTTAGCTTTTAAACTGAAATCGCCCAGACCCTCGGCAAATCTTCCTTAAAACCAGTGCATTGTATTAAAGAAATTTCCTTAGCTGAGCTCACGCATGCTTAGGGCTTTAGGGATAAGAATAATATCAGTCCATTTTCTTGCGCTTCGCTCCCAAGAAACAAAGACGGATCTCAGTTGAAAAAACTTCCTTAAAACCATCAGCCAGTTAAATTATATAAATATATTTAACCATATACTCTATTGCATTTAAGCATGTATATAGATATTATGTACAAACATGTATACAAATGATGAGCATAAACCACGAGATCATATTATAACAATATTACGCCGCAAACGTGTAATGAACAAATGAGCTTGAATGCGATCGTTTTTTATGGGTGAAGATGAATGAATTCATGCTTATTTGTTCATTTGCACGGCCGCAATCACATAAATGTCAACTGTTTATTTTTGCACAACAATTAATGTAAACATCGCAGCTTATCCCTAGACAGTTACCTATAACTTGGTTTTATTTGGGCGGTGACTTAAATTGGTAGCGTTGGCTTTTCCTTAACATGCTATCTGGAAACGAAAAACAAAAATCTATAACTTTAGTTTCGCATTTAGTAACTATTTCAGTCTCAACTCGTAGGTATTCAGTTAATTAATCCCGTCCTTATCGCCGACTGAAACCAGGACATAAATCGAAAGTTTGGACACAGACAACAATTAAACTGTCCAATAGATCTTAATAAGATCCGAGCAAAAGTAGTTTGCGAACAATTCGGTAAAGATGCTCTATTCACTCTGCCTAATGTTTTTTAGGTGGGCAAAACTAAATCAGGGGCGTTCTTCTTTCATATTTTCACATTCAAATTAATCAGGCCGGCGCCAGAATGTCAAAAATCAATTAATGCAAAGCAGGCTTCTAACTTTTCTACCGCAAAAATCCACGAATGAGCAACACAAGTTTTCATAGTTTCATGGAGATTTTGCGATGGCACGCCAATGCATCCCAGCTTCCATTACCCCCATGTTTCCACCCTTCGTGAATGATGATTTGCAAACCAACTACATAAGTTTGGGTTCTCATACCGATGAAAAGACGCTTTGACGGGGCACATTATCTTAATTGATTCTTTTATTATACGCCACTGCTACTTCCTTCACTGGCCAGAGTTTCGCATTATAAAAAATTGATTGAATTGAAATTTTAGACGAGCACTCAACCCCTGAGGTTAAAGTGCAGGGGAGTTAACGTTTAGATGTGCCAAACTCAGAAGAAAAATTAATTATTATCATTATTATAACAATTCACTTCAGTTCACACACTTTTTAATCGTTGTATTTCAATTATGATGGACTATTGATGGCATTTTTTTTGTTTGGTGCGGATGAATTTTCAAAATTATGTTTCTGGGCTTAAAAGTCCCTCTTGAGCCCCGTATTTGCGACGCAGGTAAATGTAGAAACGACATTGACAAAGTTCACAGTGTTTAAACCGAGCACTTCAATTTGTGAGCGGTGTTTTTTCGGTCGCGTCAACCTGATGGGCCGCATGCAACGTACGTCAAACGCTAGAGGAAATATACACTGCTAGAAAATTGAAGTTCGACCGAAATTAACCGAAAGCTCGCGTTGAGTGAAAGAAAAAAATGTGACCACTTAACAGTTTCAACCAAATTTTGATTTTGGTATTTAAAACTACTTTAAAAACTATTCAAACCTAAATTGCTTTGCAACTGAAGAAATTTGAATTAATTAATTACGGCGATTAAATTGGAGGAATCATGTAGCGAAAAGGTGATCCATTTAATAAAGATATCGGCAATTTGGCCCTTTGCCACGCAGCTTTCACTTGTTCCAAACTCTCGGATAGACGCCAACGGGACTGCAAAGCCGCCGGTGGCGTCGACAGCGTCGGTGGCGTCTCTTAAGGTGGAATGGCGATGTATTTAAATTTTTTCCACGTCGGCAATCAAAAGGCGAATAATTTTTGAAAGCTCGCTTATGACTTTCGAGCCAGTTTGATGAACCGAATCCAGCGGCCAACTCCATTAGCCATATTGGAATAATGGCGATTCGCCGGCAAATTGAGGGGCATTTTGCCTAAACTTTTGTCCTAAATTCTCGATTCTTGCAAGCGGGGCCAGTGGAGAAGTTACCCCTTGATCCTAATAAAGCAGACAATTTGTCCGATTCGCAATTTTATGCCCTTAATTCTTTCTATAGATTTGCCGTTTCCGATTTACTGATATCGGAGATCAGAAAAGTTTTATTAAGTAGTAAACTAGATAAGCTCTAGCAAATTACCGTCGTCCCATGGCCAGGATTCTCTACCCTCAACATTAAACTCCTAATAGGCCATTATTGAATTATTGAGCAGCATTTGCTCTGGTTAACGCAACTTAGCTTAAAAAACACGCATTTGCAACCGACAACCGAAACGTATGCATCGATTTGTGTTTCATTTTACCCAATTATCAAACATAAGAAGGCAGAAATCACAAAGAAACTGTGCAATAAATAAGGCGGAGGCCCAAGAGAACGGCGTTATGGTAACAATCAAGTCCACTCTGACAAACGGTTTCGGATTCTAACGATATTTCTTGGAAATTTATACCCTACGAGGTTCTCCAGTGGCCTAATTGATTGTATTTCCCCGTCTGGATGCGAATTGTCTTCACCTTGGATGGGAAAAGAGCAAATGTGGTTACGTTACAATCGGAACGAGATAATATATCGGACCCGCGTACGAATTGATTGGCCTCATTAAGAAATCTGGTTCTTTTGTTGCTCAGTCATGCGGAAAAATACCCGAGGATCGATTATGGAATTTAATGACCAAGCCTGGAACACTGAGTAGTTGATTTTCGCGCAACGTCGAATGTTTCCAGAACAAAACAACCGAAACGCGGTGAACAATGTTGAGATCGCCGATGGCCAAGTTCAAGCAGTCCGTTTCAACATGGCCAAACACGATCCGTGTACTTGTTGATTCCCGCTATTATCGTGTAAACAGCTACTGAAAATCAAGCTACAGCCAACTGTTGTCAGGCGAGCAATTTTCCCTAAATTTTCCCAGTCTAATCTACTTAGTTTAGCATAATATGTGGCCTTGATTGAAGCCCCGGTTGATTTACTATTCTTCCCTAGACATCCTGAAGACAATAATCAAATTATCGACTGAAAACCCTTAAGGCAAAGTCATCATTTTCAGCGTTCGTGGAATAATAAAGACGTCGCACCAGCCCGACGATTATTGATAACAATTGATAACGTATTGAGGTCGCACGTCTATTCCAGAGTTAAAAGGATTATTATCGATGGACTGTCACTCGAAATGGAAAAGTAACTTGAGCAATATATTTCAATCTCAGTTTTCTCTATCTTCTTTTTTTTTAATACATCAAACCCAGTCCGATAATCTACGGGAAACATTTTAGTTGCTTTTTTTCGATTGAGAAGAGTTTTGCGAATTTGGTCCTAACGTTTCGCTCCCACGCATGGCTAGCCTCTTCAGTGTTGTGTTTGCTTTTGTGATGCGCTCACACTCTGATTCGGATGTATTAAATAATGCCATTCCGGAACGTAGCTGGCCTCGGATCTCTCGCTCGCACCCATGGAAGTCTAGGTGCTTTGCGCTTTGGTACGTTCCAACTTGACATAAATGAACTCAAGTTGGAGCGACACAAAACGCGTAGCGTTTATACAAAAACAAAAAAAGCCAAATATTAGCAACATTTTAGCAACTCCGAGGTTCGATAACTGCGGCTCTGGGCTAAATTATCGCGGTATATTTAATGTAAAAAATGCTCCTATTAAGAATGCCCCCGATCAGAAGCTAACAGGAATGTTACGTTGAAATTTCCCTTCTTCCCTATAGAAACGCATAATCAGATTTTCCGACGGGGACAATTAAATTTAAAATTCAAAAACCGTTTTTTCCGCGCAAAGTTGACAGAAATGCCGCATCAAATTCAATAAAAACTGTTTAGGGGTTTTTTATGTTTCAAAACTTTTGCTAGGGAGCTCTGACGAATGGGGCGTTTTTATTCAAATATGAAGAAATTCGGAATATAATGAAATTAGTCGGCAAACTGGATAATCTTCACATCGGCGACACACTTGATTGATTATGTCTGGATTAACAAAACATCTTTCGTTAATAACTCTTCCAGAAAAACATGAATTTTAAATTAAATAACTTTTGAACTGGAAGTTAGTCAATAAAATGCGTCTAATGAAGTCAGCGGAAAAAGGTGACGATAATTCAAATTGAGTATCGCAATAATAAGACGGCACAGACAGTGGATTTTCTAGCTAAAAGTGTTGCTTGTTAATGAATCAGCAAGCGAAAAACTGACCCTGCATGCAAATTTATACAGGGTGTTAGTGCGCATCGTCAAATTGCTTGTATTAGCCAGCATTTAATCTTGAAATGACACTCATCGATACCTAAATAACTATTAGTCAAATTACGGCCCTCGGCCAGTTTTGCCGTTAATAAATCTGGCCGGGAATGGCAAAACAAGAGTTCCATGCTAAAATTGATAAACGTTTCCGGGGAAATTCGCGACATCTAATTTACGAGGCCGATGTTCGAACGATAATTTTTACATTTATGCACCCCCATCTAGTCCAAAGTCGTTCCGTTGTCCCCCGCATTCATTAATCTAGTTTTGACACGTTGCTCATCTAATGTCTTATCCGGAGTTCTTGACTCGTTTTGACTGCTCTGTATTAACTATTTTCTTCGTTGCACCAGAATAGTTGCAAAATAAAGGAAAGGGCGTTCAAAATGCGAATCTTCCGGTATATTCTGTTTTGTGCACAACAATTCAAATTGATTTAAACCAGCTTCTTTAACTGTTGAATTGAGGCATTGTAAGGGAACAGTGAACCGAAGCGGAAATGAAGTAGTCCTCAACCACTTATAATTGTGTTAATCTTAATTGTTCGCTTGTCCTCAAAACACGTTCAAGACTTTGAAGTTTCCAGCATAAATTATACGCATTCCGCCCCACTTTTGACGGCCCCTTAATTTGTTACAGCAGCGACTTCTAATTTGATTGATCTTTTCGACTGGAGTTAACGTGCTGGAAGAATCTGCTTTACATTTTTTTCTCTGCAAATTAATTGAAAAATCCCGCGTTGTCGATACCGCAATTTGTTTAACCTTGCAGTAATTAACGTTTTTCTCCAACTAAATGGGGTGGAAAGCGTGAGCGTGAAATAAAAACCCAGGAGCTTTTATGAAAAAACTTTCAAATATGGCCTGATTTTCGGTGGTTTAATTAATGTTCTGCTTTGGACTGGAAAGCCATCTTCACAACAATGAAAAAATCGGATGAATTTGCCGGGACTACGCAGTTGCCTCGAAAAATTCCTCCGGCAAAAGGACGCAAATTCAGACAAAAAATTATCAAATTGAAATTTTGTTGGATGTTTAAAAAAATGAAAAAATGGGTTGATTATGCTACTTACCTAATTTTCCTTCATACTAATGAACCCACGAAGGAGACGTCACTACAGCCTGAGAATAAGCTGGAGGAGCGGCTGTTTGGCCGTTCACCAGCCCTCCGTCAGCATTTTGTTGCACCATCGCCTGCGGTTGTCCAGTGAAGTTAAAATCTAGGCAGCCTTCTGCGTTCAGTTCTTGTTGAATGATGTCCTGAAAGCACATAGAAAAACCCTACAGCAGACAGAACAGGCGAAACCCACTCGACTTACCTCGACATCACAGTCGAATCCTCCAGGCAACGAATCGACGTGAATGTTTAGATCCTCACCGACGTTTAGCGCCCCAATATACTGACCCATCATAGTGGACGGTGTTCCTTGGCTTTGAGGCGTTAGTGGAGGACTGGAGGATGGAGGCCTGGGCGGCAATCGAGCCTCCATAAACTGGTGAGTGCTCAATGGATCGGGTGAGGGCTCGGAGTGTGGATACGTCGGTGACATGCCATTAGGCGACATGTTCTGGAAAATGCGAGTTGTGAAAGGAGAGACGCCTAAATAGGAGGAATGAGGACATGAACTTACTTCCACTTTAACACAGGTTTGCATACACGTGCATGGTTCCATCCTGTGTATGATGCAGGGAAACTGTCCTGCTAGAGATCCGAAATCCCTATGCTGAAACGAGGAGTCGTTGAACATCGATGGATTGTATGGCGGAGGAGGCTGGTTGGGAGTGTTCTGTCGATTCAGATATCTAAAAACGTGGATACACTCATTTTAACTGGAATTCAATTGAGTGATACGTGAACAGATGTTACGGAAAAGAGAGACAAATTAAGCAAAAACCTGCTAAAAAAGGTGTAAAGTGAAACCATACAAATGAACAACGCACTAAGTAAATTGGCACAATAGACAATTGTCAAAACTAATCCAACACAACATCATGCCATTACCGGATTTATCTACATGTACCCTACATTTTCAGTTGAAACTCGCCGGTGATTACAAAATTTAAATACATATTTTTCCAAACCTTCAAGCAAAAATCTCCCATTTAAACAAGCACGTGATAAATCAATGAAAGTACCGGCTTTTGACTAAAAAACGTAGTAAGTTCGAACGTTCGTCACAGAGGCCTATAAGTGCAAGTGAGTAGGCAGTAGAGCACTATAAGTGCAAGTGAGTAGGCCTGGGTAAGACAGCGGATTTTCAGGTGTTCATACAGCGACACCGATACTGCTTGCCGTGTTGATACAGCGACACAGTGCGCCACACTTTTCACATGTTGGGAAATAAAAGCAGAAGACGCTGTGTTTCGTGATGTCTAGTGGTTCGTAAGTTCGCTAGCGGTGCAGCGCGTTCAACGTTTTTTCTATGGTTTTACTAGAGAGAGACTATGACAGACGTCGGTTGTTTTAATGAAAGGAATGAATGAAGTGGCAACATGTTTTCTTCTTGTAAAGCCTATTTGTCTCAGAAGAATTTGTGATGTGCCGACGATTTCTTCGTTATTATTGACCCAAAGTTTATAAATGCATATTTGTGACCTTCTTGCGTCGAAAGGAATCGATTGAGCTCAAAAAACACGCATGTAAAATTTTGATTTTTGGCCGAAATTTTTCCAAGGGTGGAGGTCGATTTTTTGAAAAAATTAAAATTTTCTCAAAATGTCATAAATTTTACATCATTTTCATCGCACGGACGCAAAGAATGCATCAAACTCATTGAAAGACTTGTTAGAAGTTTCAGATTCGAAATAATACACATTTTCGGCACATTTTAAGCGTTTTTTGAGCGTTTACGATCTTTAACCGACGATTTCTTCCTTATTATTGACCCAAACAGTTTATAAATGCATATTTGTGACCTTCTTACGTCGAAAGGAATCGATTGAGCTCAAAAAACACGCATGTAAAATTTTGATTTTTGGCCGAAATTTTTCCAAGGGTGAAAGGTCCATTTTTTTTTTTAATTAAAATGTCTTAAATTTTACATCATTTTCATCGCACGGACGCGAGGAATGCATCTAACTCATTGAAAGACTTGCTAGAAGTTTCACATCCGAAATAATAGCCATTTTCGGCACATTTTAAACGTTTTTTGAGCGTTCACGATTTTTAATCGACAATTTCTTCCTTATTATTGACCCAAACACTTTATAAATGCACATTTGTGACCTTGCGTCGATAGGAATCGATTGAGCTCAAAAAACACGCATGTAAAATTTGATTTTTGTCCGAAATTTTTCCAAGGATGGAGGTCGATTTTTTGGAAAAATTAAAATTTCCTCAAAATGTCTTAAATTTTACATCATTTTCATTGCACGGACGCGAAGAATGCATCAAACTCATTGAAAGACTTGCTAGAAGTTTCAGATTTGAAATAATAGACATTTTCGGCACATTTTAAGCGTTTTTTGAGCGTTCACGATCTTTAACCGACGATTTCTTCTTTATGATTAACCCAAACACTTTATTGTGACCTTCGTACCTCGTACTTTATTGCACATTTGTGACCTTCGTACGTCAAAACGAATCGATTGAGCTCAAAAAACACGCACGTGAAATTTTGACTTTTGGGTCGATTTTTTGAAAAAATGAAAATGTTCTCAGTGGAATCAGTAATCAGTAGACAAGTATTTTGAGCACTTTCGTTTGTGCGGCTTTATAACGTAATTGCGCGTGGCCGTCTGTCATCTTGAATGAGATTAGATGTTAAATGCTGTTCAAAGTGCCGCGGCACATGGACACACTGAGCCGGCATCAACACACAAGTGTCTAAAAACACCGTATTACCCCAGCCTACAAGTGAGAGAACATCGAGCAGAAACATGGGATTAAGCAAAACAGGGTCTCACATTGAAATGCTCACCCCATATATTGACCAGGTTCGAGTTTCATCCGTTGCTCTAAATTGCCAGCTAGTTGATCGGGCGAATAATTGCCGCCATTGGTGCCGCCACTGGCCGTTCCATTGAGCATGTCGGGATTGCTGAAGCTGGAACTGGTAAAATTCGAGCCCCATTCAGCTTCAATGCCCACAGCAGGAATGGGGGACAATCTAGCTGATGATTGAGACGACGTTCTCGGTCTGAAGTCGGGACTCAATTGGAAACCGCCGCCACTGAGAGATCAACAATTTATATTTTGCGGTAGCGCTCAGCGATACTGGTGAATAATGTATCTTTTCGGGTTTTTTTTTTGTTAATTGTTCGACGAGCGACAGACGAAAATGGGAATGGTTTTAATGAAGCGATGTTAATGAGGACATGGGGCTTTCCTTTGTATGAATTGTATTGAAATTCGCTAGTGATGAATTTCAATGGAATGCTTAAGCGATTACCATAAGCGAATTTCTAGCGACTCGCTTGTTTCAACGTTATTAGTGGGAAAATGTGCAACTAGCCCGAGTGTTTGGTTATAGTGTTTCCAATCAGTTAGTATTGAAAGGTACAAAAAACAACTATCTACTGATACGCTACTGGTTTCATGCAGTCTGGGCGACCAAAGTGTTCAAAAGTAAATTTATGTGAAAACCCTCCCTGCGATTATTAAAAACACTAAACCCGTGAAAATGGACGAAACTTGGTAGTTGACAAATGAATTTGATATATTTCAATGTATTAGTAATTCTTGTCCCTGGTCAGTTTAAAGAGGGAGGATTCAACTGTAAACTCGGCAAACTCAAGAAACTCATATACATACACGGATTGAAACGAGTAGTAATTTTTCTTGGATTTGAAGAGTTTTTGTGAAAAATGTCCCTCTCAATGTCTGACCAATGTGGCGTGTGCTTGTACGGCGAAACACTTATTGATGAAACATTTCAACACAAACAATTTTACCTATAAACTGAGGGATTGGAATAAGCCCTTGGCCGGGACTCAGGACTTATCTGGAAGCCACCGGAACTGTTAAGAATACAGAAAAGAGTTTAGAAAGTTTTTCAAATTTCGTAAATGCAGTAGATGAAAGTGCGTGTCCTTAATCACAGAGACGAAAGTGTCTGGTTTTAGGTTATTCTACCTCACTAGATGCGGCTAAATTAGCGCATGCAACTAAGAACCAAAGTCTAGACTAGACAGGTGAAAAGGAAGTAAAAAGCATTAGTACGTTATTCGGATTAAGAAACAACGCACCTGTTGCTATTGAGGAAAATAACAAAAAAATCTAAATTTGCTTTTGAATCAAGGAGCAATTGGCTCGAAATGGCCCAAATCAAAGGTCCTACCTGTGGATTGTCGGAGACTCTGGGAAGAGGTCCAGGCTCTCTGATACGGAGGAACTGGGACTAGGAGGCTGATCGGGCAACGTTCCATTCCTCATCATTTCGACTTTCTTTTTCACCCTTCCTGAAACGTCAAACCTGTTCTATATGCCCCCATTATAAACATTCCCAATTCACATCTGAAATCCGGCTTCAATGCAGCCCTCAAAGGCATGTTATGTGTTACCTCGTCGTTTTTCGAATTTACTCGTCTCCATCGATACGGCTCTTCGTCGCGGTGACTTTCCAGGTTTTGCGTCCGGATTAATCATCCACCACGATGATTTGCCAGTTCCCTCATTTTGTACTCTCATGAATCGATTATGTAGCGATAGATTGTGCCGAATGGAATTCTGGAATGAAACACACCAATTAGATGCTGCAGTATAGCGAAAATTCTTTTTTATTCGAATGAATCAAAAAGTGCCATTTTGCGAACAGAAGCGATGATCAAAAAGAGGCACTTTTCTTTAGCGTTCATTTGTTTTACTTTTACGCACGGACTTTGCCGCACAGTGTGCGACAAAGTAAATGTGACACTTTGAACTTGCCACTGTCATTATATATTTTTTAGTATTTTTATTTAAAAATAACCGAAATGCTTTTTTAAGGAATTACGTAGGTTTATCAACAACTATTGATCCTATTTTCAAGTTTACTTACAATTTGTAAATTATACCTTTGTTACAAGTTCAGTCTCATAATCGTTTTAATGGCCTACTTATCTACTTTTGCGATGTTGTCACACGTAAAACACGATCTTTTTAAGAAGCGCAAATGTCATGCAGAGTATGCAACATGCATACACCATCCCAAGACCACAGGTGTTTCAAGTTGAAAAAGTACTTAAACTTAATTACAAACTTCAAAACATGACATTTCAAAAAATGACATTGCCACAAAATTTTAAATATGAAATCGATGCATTTTATTATTCGTGTAATCTTTCATTCGAATAAAAAATAGTGTTCGATACGAGGGCGAAAATTTGTTTTTCGAACTCCAGACGGATTGACACGTCAAACGCCGTCGTCGTTAGAAAAACGACATTTTTCGCCCTTGTATCGAAAACTACTATTATATCCGCCCTATAGCGGTCATATTAATTGCTTCATTCGTTTCCATATTTAAAGTGCGCAAATCACGGCACTTGAAGACGGGACGATTAATTATCCTGTCGCCGAAAGTAACGAGGAAAATTAAATCAGTAACATGTCAAAGTATAAGTATTTAATTTCCATTCCAAAAATTAAACGCGGGGGTGAAGTCGCAAAGTTTCTCTAACGTTAATAATCCAGTTAGGGCTTAAGAAACTACATCATACAAAATGGGAGTCATAAAGAGATTAAGTTATTACAATACAAGGGTGAAAGTCGGCGAATGCGGGACAAAGGAAAGAGCAACTTGAATGTTTGCACTTCGCACCAGCAATGCAAAGGGCAACATTGGCAATGAAGAGATCGAAAGCCCGAACTGAAGCGACAAACGACAAAACTGCACGAGTTTCCTTCATATTTTCCAACATTTATCAAATTCTCGATTAAAACTATTTGTCATTTATCTTGAAATGCTGCAGTCCCTGGAAAACTACCTAGCGACCGATAGCTGACCAAGTGCTAAGAGACAACGTCCGTTCGTTCGGTAGTAATAAAATGAAAATTGATTCACTACTAGCGAAAATGTACTTCGAAATGGCGATATGTATTTTCGGTCAACGGTTTGCGAAAAAACACTGCTTTTCTTGCATTTAGCCCTGGCCGAGGCTAAAATAAAGCCGAAGCGTTCACTCACGGGAAACCTATCTTTTTGCCCAAAAATGGACTTTAAGTATCGGGATGAGACAATTTTAAAGAACAGAAAAATTTGGTGTTTGCGGAAACTTTCCGCATAAAGCAGATTTTTAAATTCCTCTATACGCATGCTGATCGTTTCCTTCCCCAAATACATTCCGTACGAAGCAGATCATTTCATGCGAATGATTTGCAAAAAACACTGCTTTTCGACGACGTTCCAGGTTTATTTTAGCCACCGTCAGGCCTAAAATAGCCGAAACGTCGGCCCAAGGAGAAACCGTGTTATTTTGCAAACCGTTGAACTAACAGACCTTCAATTCTCACCGTACTCAAATACTACTGTGCTGATCATTTTGAGAAGGAAAATGTGCGAAACGAATGAGTTTTTCTAGGGTCGGAAACAATCCATCGAGCACAACAAATAAGCAAATGAAAATTTGACCTTTGGCCGAAATTTTCATAAAAGTTCGATTTTTTTCGAAAAATATTAAAACTCATAAAATGCCTTTAATTTTACCTCATTTTCATTTCCGAGAAAGGAGGAATCCACCCAGATGGTTAGAAAACTCTTTAGAAGCTTCAAATCCGAAAAAATTGAAATTTTTGGTTGATTTTGGGCGATTTTTGGGCTGTCACGATCTTTAACCGATGGTATTTTCTTTATTACAGACCATAACACTTTATATATGCATATTGAGCAGCTTCTGAGATCGGAAGCAATCCATTGAGCTCAAAAAATCCGCATGTAAAAATTTGAATTTTCGCCGACATTTTCCTAAGGGTAGATTTTCTTCGAAAAAATATGAAAACTCTTAAAATGCCTTGAATTCTACCTAATTTTCATTACAAAGGAACGAGGAATCCACCCAGATAGTTGAAAAACACTTTAGACGGTCCAAACCGAGAAAATCGAAATTGTTGGCTGATTTTTGAGCGGTCACAATCTTTAACCGATGATATTTTCTTTCATAGAGAGATTTATAACACTTGAGGAGCTTCTGAGATCGGAAGCAATCCATTGAGCTAAAAAAATTTGACTTTTGACCAAAATTTTCATAATTTTTTTGGAAAAACATGTGGTAGATCAAGCAGTCCCATAGACGCCATTTAAATCATGCAGGTATCGCGCTCCTCTCCAAGTGATTATGTAAATGCGATTTCCCGATTTGTGAGCGGTTTATAGTCAAATTTCTGTCATAAAACTCTCAAAAATTGCCGAATTAAAACCGAACAACTTTCAACTCATACTAATCAAACTGCGAATCTCCATTTTTATATCATTCGATAACTCGACGGTTAAGGGAGTACTGGGAGAAAGTTTTCCATTGAGTAGTTACATTCCGATATCTGTAAAACTTATATCAATTTAGTCGGGAAATAAAATGGATTTATCGGCGCTCTTGCGACTGTAATACAGCAAATTGCCGAAGTTGTTCAAAAAGGTGCAGACAGGATGTTGCATAAAAAACTTGCGGGATTTTGGGATGCGACGAACGGAGCAACATTGCAACCTTTTCAAGTGTCAAAAGCACGAAACCATTGCGTTTCTATTTCGAAGCTCATTTCAAAGAAACAACAATGAAAATAAATGATGCAGCACACAATAATGCATGCAAATTGGAGACGTCGATTAGGCCCACTTATCGTTAATCAGACGTTGATCTAGTTTCTGATGATCCTTTTCATGTTTGTCTTCGCTCAAATTGCTCAAATAAGAAGTCAATTTCGTTATTTTTTATATAGTTTCAACGCTTTAGTGCCAAAATTTAGACCGTTAAGAATGAGTCCGGTTTGTTTCGGTGCTTTGGAAAAATCTGTATCTGAAAATCGCGCAGAACTGGGCCCAAATAAAGCACATTAAACTAGCCCAAAGTGTCAGTAGGCAGAAAAAGTCTTGTTAATCAATAAAAAAAACTACATTAGCCCTACTGGGGTAGAGATATGGCAACACTAAAACTAAAGGGTGGCACTAACGGAAGGGACGAAAAATGGTCCATTATCCGAAACGGGAGTCTGAGCGGCGCCCGGGGGCGGACAAAAGACGATCGGAGGCGCCGCGACGCCGAGGCGAGAGGCGTCCACACAGGTGAGAGACAGGTTGAGGTCGCCGAAATCATCGCTGATTTATCGTCCTCTGTCCACATACGGCCAATTACGGATTCGTGATACAAAGTGGCTTAGAATCAGGGAAACTGTCTTCAACCAGGACCAGTTAGGGCCAGAATACTGTAAAGTAGGAATTTGAAAGTGGAAAAGTGAAGTAAATTATCGTGTAAAATGCAAATACTCCCTAATAATAACTGTGCATAATCATGATGACACGTTTTAAAAAAATGGCAACACCAAGCAGACGATCAAGGCCAACCGGATGGGCAAGAATCGTAGACTTTCAAATTTTCTTAATTGCTTTTTTATTTTATTCGCCACGATAGGAAAAAGTCCGCAACAATGGAAAAAGGGCACTTGGTGTTGAAATGAAACTTGTCCGCGAAATTCGTGAATACAAATTGTAACTTGCAGGTCACCAACGCGTAGGCTTAAAGTCCAAATTTCTTGGGAAAAACCCGAAACTGCAACTTTGCTGCTTTAGGCATCGCCAGGTGAATATCATTTGGCGGTTAAACTCGCTGGATGTGAGCCAAAAATCAAAATTCCTGCCAACGGTTAGTGTGAGTGAATGTGAAGTGAGTAGGAAAAAATGATTTCTTACAACTATTCTGTGCGATTCGGCATGTTCGCAACGTAAGCAAACTGTTCATCCTGAACATAAATATTTAAACAATGCCGGGGCGAATGTTTAGTCTTAAAAAAACTAGTAAAATTCGTTTATAAATTAACACATATAAATATTTAATGCGCGTGGGCGAATTTGCATGAACTAGTCCCGACTCCTTGGAGGTCATAAGGTTTTTGGCGATGTTACACATGAATGCAACCAGGACTCAATCACACACTCATTTATTTATACAGGGCCGTATTTATAGAACGACTTTTCCAACAACCAACCAATTTTTTTTTCCAATCCAACACATTTCAGGCTTCCAGAGTTTTCTTAATGACTTCCCGTGACCACAAATCCTAATTGAACAAAATATTATCAAGTTTGGCCGTCAGCATTGAACTTCTGCATTGTTGTAAGTGACCTTATCTTGTCCGTGTGACGCTGACGAGAGATTATGGGGGAATTCGAAAATTCCCCCAGCACAGATAAACGTTAAGTCATTTGCTCGGACATATTTCACCTTTTATCTCACGGTTCAACTAATTACAAAAATGTTAATTGTGGAGCTTTTAAAATTATTGAAAGTACTGGATGCTTGCTGGGTTATCTAGAAGTTTCACTGTTAAAACAGGGCCGATCGGGAAAATAAACTAACGAATTAGCACAGTTTTAAGAAGTTTACTGGTGTCGACTCTAAATGGGTCAAATGTTCTACATAAAAACGCAGGATCCGCGATGCTTCATTTATTAGAAGCAAATTGATTTTTCTGCGAAAGCAAAGCGGTTGAAGAATGTGAAAGTGGGCGCAACTGAACTGATCAGTCATGCTGAAGACGCT